AAATTTAGCATCCAGATCAAGATGTACTATATGTACAAAAATACACACCAGATTTGAAGAATAAAAAAAGAATGTAAACCCTCTTATTAATGATGTTTTTATATTGTGTGCAGGTTGAAGTTATAACATTTTGGATATATTTAGTTAACAATATTTATTATACTTAATTTCTATTTTTTATTTTTTAGTCTAACTACTAGAAAAGTTAAAATTGCATATATGATTCACATTACATTTCCACTGAACAGTGAGCACTGCTGTAGAGAGAGCATGATGCCATATATAAGGGGATTTGAAAAACAAAATGGTAGAATACATTTCTAGAGATCTTTTAAACATTCCTGTTAAAATTTTAGTTAATAAAGAATTCAGCAAGAGAAACATGAAGTATAATTTTTTGATATTCATTTATAACTTGAAGAGAAAGGTGAAACTTCAATAGACTAATAAAATATGGTTTAGTTTTACTCTTGGAAAGGCAATATTTAGATCCTAAAATTTCCAAGAAGAATAAATCAATATCTGGAAATGGCCAGCCACAGTTAATTTTCAGAAATATCATTGAAAAGCTCTAGCGAAATCATTGGCAATCATTGCCTCTAAGAACACTATATCAAGTTCGTGAGACAAAAATTAAAAATTAAAATTAAAATTAAAAAATAAAAAAATAACTGAATAAGATTAAAAAAAATCCATATCTTGAGACAAGGCCCTCAGTGCTTCTTCAGCTTGTGACCAGTCCTTAGTGCTCTAGGAGATGGCAATTCCAAAATGAAGTGTCTAGCATAGAGCTTTGTGCATAGAAGGTGCTCAGGGTAGGGTGCTGTGTAGGTACAAAATGTAGGACCATTCTTGAGCAATAACAGAATATTCCCAGGATTATTCTAAGGGCCGTTGTCCTCATCATGGCTCTTAGGTAAACAAGCACCAATAAGAGAAAAAAAAAATGGCTTCAAACGATCTGTCAAAGTGATATTCTCCTCACTGTTAATCTCTAGAGGAAGATAGTAAATTTTTGGAACTATTTACAGTATTTTCTAAAATACAGTTTACCAGGCTCCAATCCATATATCTTTTACTATTGCTTGTTTTGAAACCTAGCTATTTCTCTAATTGGTAGATTAATAGTTTTCAAATTATAAATCAAAGGTAATTTGCCTAAAATCTTTGCACATGCAAATGGAATATTTTTATTAAGTGGCTTAAATGAGATCTGTCTGCTTATAAAGGACATATCAGAACAAGCTGAATTTTAAAATGTACAGATTCAAAAATTTTAATGTTTTTTGTAGATACAGGTCTCTTATACATCTAATTTGATTTTGAGGTATTTAATCACATTTAAACTTAACAATATAAATGTAAATGAAGTTTGAAATTAATTTAATCTCAGCATAGTCCCACTACTTTGCCTAGAACATAGGAATATATTGTTCCATTAAGGTGTCATGCAGGGTACCAACAGATGATATGAAATTCTCTTAGTATTCACTTACATTTGATTATACTTAAAAGGAAAAAAAGGTAGAAACAGACAACAAAAGCTAAAAAACAAAATTAAAAAAATATAAAATTCTACTTCAAGTAATTGTATATTAAGAAAGAGAAGGCTCATTAAGTCTTTGTATTTCTGCTACACTATGTGGTATCAGACACTCAAGTGTAATAATTTGATTTCTAGAAGCTCCAGCATAATATAGCTCCAGTTGTCTGTAACAAAGTGTAAAAATTGTTTGCGGAATAGGAATTAAGCCCACTTGACATGGTAAAAACAGATTGATTTGAACTGGCAAATACAGAAAATGGATGTCCAGAAATATGCTGAATTAAAAAATATTATTAAAACAGGGCCACCAGATAGTAGAGTGAATTTGAATACTTAATTATCTGAGAAGGTTATTCGGAGAATTTGGCAAAAACATTTATTTGGAATTTTATAATATAATCCACATAAATTCATTTTCATTATTAACAAATCAGCAATAGAAACAATCCGTACATAACAGTGTATTTTGTTGTGCATAAGGACCTAAGGAAATCGGGCCAGGCCCTAAAATCAGGCAGGATGCTAAAATAGACTCTCATTTATCTCTCACTTTAGTTAGATTTTTAATGAGCATTACATGTGTCAGCAATTGTTATGGGCTGAGTTGTGTCCCTGTGAACGTCATATGTTGGAGTCCCTGTACCTCAGAATATAACTGTAACTATATTTAGAGATAGAGGCTTTGAAGAGGTGATTAAGTTAAAATAAAATCATTAGGATAGACCTTAATCAAATCTGACTGGTGTCCTTATGCAAAGCAGGAATTTGGACACAAGAAAAGATATAGCACTTTGGGAGGCCAAGGTGGGTGGATCGCTTGAGCCCAGGAGTTTGAAACCAGTCTGGGCAACATAGTGAGACCCCATCGCTGAAAAATTAAAAAAAAATATATATATATCTATATATGTATATATACATATAAATATGTATATATACATATATATATATATTAAACACACACACTCTCAGGAGGCTGAGGCAGGAGGATAGCCTGAGCCCAGAAGTTTGAGACTACAGTGAGCTATGATGACACCACTGTACTCTCTAGCCCATGTGACAGAGAGAGACCCAGTCTCGAAAAAAAAAAAACAAAAAAAAATTCTTGGGAATGTACAAGCAAAGCAAAAGGCTGCTATCTGTAAGCTAAGGAGAGAGGCCTCAGAAGAAACCAGAAATCTGTCAATACCTTGATCTTAGACTTCCAGCCTCCAGAACTGTGAGAAAAAAACCCAAATTTCTATTGTTTTAGCCACCCAGTTTGTGGTATTTTGTCATGACACCCCTAGCAAACTAATGCAGCAAGTTAATCTGGTAAAACTGTGACAAGAAAAATGAAGTTGCCCCTCCTGAATATCTGCCAAGTACAGTAGCACCTGATCTAATAAGCTTAGATTCCATGACTTCCTATAGATGTCTGAAGCTGCAGATAGTGCCATACCCAATTGCCATCAATCAGAACCTGTTTCTGCTCCTGTCTTCCAGACACAAATTTAATGCCTTTTCCATCTTAACTAAACACTTATGCACTGTGGCTGTAACTTTTTCAGGTTGAAATGCAATAGCATTTGTAGAAATTTCTTTTTCCTTTTTCACAATTTCATGGATAGATTGGTTCTTACCTAAGATCTTACTTAATAACAACCTCAGCTTACAACATTTTTTCTTTCCCCATTAAATTGAGAACCTTCACCTTTTCACTTAAAGAAAGCATTCTGTGGCTTTTTTTTTTTTTGGCATATTCAAATTGTCAGCATCACAACTCCTGTGCTTTGAGGCCATCAGGAAGTCAAATAAAGGTGATTTGAACACAGGCACTGTGATACAGGGATGATTGATCTGATAACCAAGGGCTACTAAGTGACTCACAGGTAAGGAGCCTAGCTTAGTCAGCTTAGAACCCCTGGACAAAGGAAGGATTCATGTTCTGGGCAAGATTTCTCTCATTACAATAATACAAATGAACTGTTTCACTCCCCTTTCAGTCTCTCTGATTCAATGAAAATAAGAAAAAAATCCAATCGTAATTTAAATGCACATCATTGTACGAAACAGATTATGCCCGAGAAGTTTATAAAACAAATGATCACAGAATAAATTATTTTGCAGTGACTTATGTTACATATTTAGAGATACAGGGAACACATATTTTAAAGATTTTTTAAAAATTTCAATATTCTTATTTACATTCCAGTGCAGACCCTTTGGGAAAGTTATATAAATTTTCATCTTTCCACCACATTCTAAAATTCAGAGATATCTGTCATGTAGCAAGAATTGTGATGAAAATAACTTACATTTATATAGTGACCTATGGTTTATAAAGTTCTTATACACATACTATCTTACTTAGTCTTCTTAACAATTATGAAAGACTGGTATTATTTTGATTGCATAGAATAAGTTGGAACAGTCAAGCAAGGCCATCCTCTTTCCAATTTCATATATAGACTTTTAAATAGAAATTTTACTTTGAAATAATTTTACATTAACAAAAATGTTACAAAATAATAAGTGTTCCCATATAGCCGTGTATTCAATTTTCTCAAAGATTTACATCTTATATTGCCATGGGACATTTGTCAAATTAGGAAATCAACTTTGCTATATTACTAATAATTAAACTCCAGACATAATTCATATTTGATTAGTTTTCTACTTGTGTTCTTTTTATGCTACAGGATTCAAAGCATGATGTCACTGCATTTAGCATATATAGACTTTTAAGGAGAGTGATTAAGTGATTAAACAATGTAAACTATGGAGTTTACATAGTTTTTCTGTAAGAAATTGAATTTGCTCAAATGTAAGGAAGGGAATTACAGGTAAATCAACAGTTTGTTGAAATTCATGAAAGCTTATTTTTTTATGACAAAACTTAGCCAAATAAATTTACAGGCCTATATAGATATACATAAATAATGTAAAATTATCATGACATTACTGAAAAAAATTAAAATCCAGCATTAGAACAAAAGGAAACTAAGTTTTAAATAACTCACCAAGAATTTGTTACAGACAAATAAGGATGTATCATGTCATTTGGCTTTTAAAAAATTCAGTGAAATAGCTATGGAAGAAACTTTTATTACTGGACATAACATTTTATAAATTATTCTGTAAAAATTAAATATTCTTTGATATTGATTATTCCTGCCCTGCTAATGTATGCTCATTCACATAAAAATACTTTTAAATATATTTTTCCTTCCAATTAATCTCTATGGTGGGAAATTTTATCTTTCAAAAGCATGTGTTGCTTGATATTGAGATAATTTCTAATGTGGACAATTTATTTTGATTATAAATTCCAATTAGATTATATAAATTATATACACATTATATTAATTTATATTATATATAAATTTCAGTTAGATTATAAAATTCCAATTTAAACTATATGTCAAATATTTCCAGTCTGTTTCACTAATTTTTGATAATTTTTAACCTTCTTTAGATTTTCCTGTTTATGATCTTTGGAATTGACAAGATATAAATGGCTCACATTTATGTCAGGTAAAGTATAGGATTCACATTAGACGATTACAACATTTAAATATATTAATATCAGCTTTAAAAATTCCTAGGGCAGTAATAATTATAAAAATAATATTATTGAGGTCTTATTTCCACGTTGGGTTCTTTTCTACGTGTTTTATTAATTGTAAAGCATGATAATTTAAAACACACAGCTTGTTAGGAAACAGACATTATGCTAAGTCATTTCTATTGAAATAGATTTATTTTCTCTATTTTGCTGTAAATAAATCTTATAGGTATATAAATCCTGTACATGACTATAACAGGGGAAGTATTTTTAAAATCTCAAGTTTAAGGCACTCTGAGGATTTCAGAGGCATTATATAATATTGTTTGTTTCCTTTTAGACTTATTAATATTAGAATTTCAAATGATCAATATGTATATATTAAATTAGCACTTTGTGTCCAACTCAAAAGCTCAGATATTTCTATGTTAGTACTTTTCTTTCACTTTGGAACGCTCAGGTTACATTGTTTAAATGCTTATCTGTCTCAACACATTTGTGCATGATAACACTAAATAATTTATTTGATAATTGCAATGATATCAAAACCCAACTACTCAAACACTTGATATTCCATTCCACATAAAGAGGATGTTTAAAAATTGATATTATCATCATCATCATTAACACCACTACTGCCGCTATTGCCATCATCATCATCATCATTAATGCATTTAGTTGACATAAGATTACTGTATATTCTGCCAAGGCAAGCTTCCAAATCAAACAATATGTGGTATCTTAATAATTTGCATAATTTAACAATGTGAAGCTCTAGATACATAAGCCAATTTGAGGGAGTATTTTAAACAATAAAAAACTGGTTTGTATAAGCTACACAGCTATAACACATATGCTCCTTTAATAGATCTAATTTAAAACTCCATGAGATAGCATTACTATTTTTAATTTACATTTAGCCCAGTGGAGAGCCTAGATGCAAAATATAAGCTTTACAAAGCACAGGAATCTTTCTAATCTTATATTAATGCATATCATCGGCTGCACTGACTTATTAGCAATAATCAGGGCCACACTTGAGTTTGGTTTCTAATTATCTTAATTATCTTACTTTGAGTTCTATTATTTAGTTTCTTTCCCCAAGGCCACTTAAAGTCATCTTCATGGTTATTATAACTATAGAAAAAAGACATGGTTTTCCTGACAAAAAAATTAATAATTATAACAATGATAACAAACTTATGTTTTAGTTATGGTTCCACACATCCAAAACTATAACTTAAATCATTGTAGGAAAAAAGTGTTTTATTTTTCAATTCATTTTCTCTCTTCCTTGGACCAAAAGAGAAGCTGAAATAGGAACCAGATTTTGGAAATAGAGGTATCCCTTTTGTTTACCCATTTTTCTTTATGGGAAATGTCATTTTTTTATCCCTTTTGTCTATTGAAATGCCACATGTGCTTCCAGATTTAGTGCAAACTCTTCCTCTGAGGACTTTCCAGTCTAATCCAGGCCACGGTAAACACATTCTTTTCTCCACAATTTTAGTAGGGTTAGTCTGGTTTTCTCTGGCATTTAGCCATATGTGATTTCCTACATTTCTTGTATCTTTAATAATGGGTTTTACTTTTTCCTCATAGGATTTTTCATTTTTTCCCCCAAGTGTTTGTTGTTTCTTAAAGCATATAGTAAGTACTTTCTTTGAAACTGGAAATCACATCTTATAATTTACCTTCCCTATCACGTCTGGATCAATGTCATGCACACATTAAGAAATCAATAAATGTTTTTGTCTATTTGCTTTATAGAATGTAGGGATGCATGGAAAAAGCTCTAGGCCAAAAGAGAGAGACCCAATTTCTTTGTTTGGTACTGTGACCATGACCAGGTCACTTACATTAATTTTCTAGTTTATGCCTGTTGAGTATCAGATAATTTATAAGATCTTAGTATAGCTTTACAATGCTAACTAAAATTGCTATTCTAGCAATTTTAGTTAATTTTAACTAAATACATTTTTAGAAGGCATTTAAAAAATCAACAAGTATGTACTTTAAACAAGATGATTCAGAATTACACTAAATAAATATGCACGCAAATTATGCTTTCTTGCCTAACAGTCTATTCGACAAATTAAAGGTCAGAAGGACAAGATTATCCTCTCAGCCTGATTCATGTTCTGTGAAAATGAAATATACTGACGTTCTATATTCTACTGGGACACATGATCTGTACCTATTTTCAGCCCACAGCTCTTCACAATCCATTGTTTAAAAATAGATCAGTTCTGAACTTTGGCGACAGGCTCAGAAGGGCATTAACCTCTTTCTTGACTGTTAACTTTGCCATTTTGTTCTAATCGAATCAGTATAAGTCTGATCATGTTAAAAATGGAACTTCTGACTTTGTACACATTCCAACAGGCACTCATAAATAGAAGGGTATAGTTCACTGAATTTTTCTAATTAGTTTTTTTATTTTTAAATATATTGGCAGCATTTCCTGAAGTATACATCAGTCTTATGATCCTAACATTTCAATTTTGGTACTAAGGCATTGCCTCCAGAAAATTGGCTATTAAAATGAAGGGGAAGCTTATTAGCAGAATATTTGAATAAATTCCAAAAGAAATAGGACATAAGATATTGCTGGGTTTGGTGTTCCTTCTGGGTACTGGTCTAAACACCCTTTGAATCACTGTCTCAGCATTTACACACAGTTATATAAAATTGTTTACTTAAATGTCTGTCTCCCCCAAAAATGTAAAGAGCCATGAGGGCCTGGACTATATTCTACTCTTTGAATTGTAGTAACACCAAGAGTTGTATTTCACTGTGTACTTACCATGTGCCAGGCCCTTTTCTAATGTTTAAAATATATTTTAGTCACTTAATTTTTACAAAAACGCTATGAAATAGTAATTATATTCATCATTCACAATTCAAGATGAGAAAAATGAAGTACACATAAGTTAAATAAATAGCCCAGAGTGTTAGTTACGCTAGATAGTAGTAGAGCTGGTTTAAATGGTGCTGGTAGAGGGAAGGCCATGCTGGTAACAGTGATGCTAAGTAGCCCCTCAGTAGCAGGTTCAGATTCATTACTTGTTATATAGCTGAAAGAATGCACATACTCATTACAGTGGTGAGAAAAATCACAAATGTGATTTAAACTATCCAAAACAAAACAGCTTTGAATATTCTGAGCAACCAGAAGAAAATAAGAGCATATAAGTGGATGGGAAGAGAAAAAGGAGGAGGGCTGTCCAGCAAAAGCCAGGTCAGGCAGCAACTGGGAGGGAGGGAAGTTTACTAGAAGTCACGGAAGCCCACTTTGCAGACTCATAATTTTGACTAGACACAGCCACAGTGCAACTAGAGAGTGAATATTAGAAATAATGAATGCATCACAAAATAATAGTTCTAATTTAGAATGCCATGTTTTTGGAGTGGCATCTTAAGGATTTTCCTCAGAAAACTGTTGTTCCTTTACTTTCTGGCCTAAGTATTTTGGCTCACAGACAAAGGAAAATGATTTTTTGACTTTACAATCACTTTCCAAAATGCTGAGAATTCCAGTGGAGCTTAGCAGGCAGGTCATATGGCTTACCCCAAGCATGAACAATACACAACCTTATCAGTCACTGTGAATCTTCTACTCCCTGAAGTGTCTCAGTACTTAGGTTTGGGCAGGGAAACCAGCAACAGCCATTGACGATATTCTAGGCAGAGCTGGCATAGCAAATGGTCTAGACCATTTGGGCTGATATAACAAAGTGTAACAGACTGGGTGTCTTATAAAAAAACAGAAATTTATGTCTCATAGTTCTGGAGGCTGAGAAATCCAAGATCAAGGCGCTAGCAGATTTTATGTCTGGTGAGGACCTACTCCTGGTTCATCGAGGGCCATCTTTATGCTATATCCTCATATGACAGAAAGGACAAGAAATCTCTCTGGGGCCACTTTTATAAGAGTACTAATCCCATCGATGAGGGCTCTACCTTGGTAATCTAATCACTTCCCAAAGATCCTAACTTCTAACCTCCTAATACCATCACCTTTGAGACTTCAACATATGAATTGGGAGGGGAGGCACGAACACTCACAATAGCAGCCATATAAGAAAAAATTAAGTATCTTCTATCTAGTCTATGGATAATATCGGGCTATAGTGACAGAACAACTATATCCCTTCTATAATGGTACTTTATTGAAATATTTTCTGCCTACTCTACCCTCTGACACAACTCTGCATTAAATAATTCATAAACCTGGAGAAAGTTAAAAAGAAAGTAAAAACAACCACATGAAAAGTAGATGTTCTGGCATATAGTGCATACGCCAAACACAATCACAGATAAATCTAAAGATGCTGGCACTCTTTTGTAATAAATTAGAACAATATTGACCACAGTAGAATCTATGGTGATATTAAGAAATTCTGCAGATAGAGCACTTCATCATTCTGAGAATCATTTTTCTTATGCATACAAATGCCACTGTTTTGTCAACAAAGTGCTCTCTCCAAGCTCTAACAATAAATGATTCTTTGAGATGATTTGTGAAGTATGTAATCCTTATTTAATTTGTATTTGCTTAATTACCCAACCAGTAATTAAGTATATACTATCTGAGGATTGGAGTTATAGAGAACATCAAAAACAGTAAAGCCTTTGCTTTCTTGGATCCTGAGTTCATATAGCTAAGCAGACAATGAACAAGTAAATATTAAGGGAAAATAAGACAACAGAGCAATATGTACACAACAAAAACACTTATGTGATTGATGGAGAAGGATGGTGAGGGAATTAATTTAGATGAGCTTCTCAGGGAAGGCCTCTTCAAGGAGGTAACATTTGTATTGAGATTTGAACAATAAGATGAGTTAGTTATTTGTTAAAGGTGTTTCAACAATTTGTCTCTAACATATGAAAAAGATAAATCACCTAATTTCTTCCACAGAAATCAATGTAGGAGAATACGTTCAATAAAGGAGTACTTTTGAAATATTAGCTAACTGAATTAATTTTATATACATGGTATGAGATTATTATAAGAGCTTTCAAAGATCACACAAATAAAATTTCTCCTGCCATTTTATATCTTCAGGATTATTTATATTTAACATTATTTAAACACATTGAAAAGAAAATCTGGGGTATAAAATGGATAAAACATAATATGGACTTAATTAATTATGAATACAGAATAATTTTAACTTTCCTTACCATTGCATTTTACTTTCTTTCCCTATTTTTAAATAAAACATCATTTGTATAAGTTTCCTAGTCTCTGAATATGTGATCTATTCTTCACTTTTATAAGTCCCTGAGTTTCCAGACTTGTGTTAGCTAAAATCATTGCTCTTAATTATATATTAGTATCTCAAATTATGCAATACAATCATAAAAATAAGTCTTCTGAATAATGACATATTTTAAGTTAAAAATCTGGTTTCAGGAGAATGTAGTTGTTGACTCAAAATTGAATATATGATTAGCAATTGCCTGTTATGTTTATGTATATGCATTCTTGTATTTTTACCTTTTATCACAAAAAATACCCAGCTTTGTCTTCCTGAGTAACCTAGTTCACTTATATGACATTTATTGTGTCATTAAAAATCTTCTATGTGTCAAGCAATTTCTAGACACTAAGAGTACAACAGTGACCAAAACACAATTTTGCATAAGTTTATACCTCATCTCCTAAGTGAAATAAAGCTTTTGAAATGTGGAATGATATGTCTTACTATTTTTTTTTTTAGATATTTCTTGTGATCTATCACTATGACTTGAATAAAGCAGGTATGCAATGCTCAAATTTGATAAGGAGAAAGATATATTTCCCATTGTTTTTATTGAATTTTTATTTTAAAAAAAGTCTGGATTTTTTAGACACAAGTTTTATTTTACTAATGCTTTTATTATCTCTCTTTCATATCTTTCCTTACTTTCCCATTCTATTCATTTTCTTTCCTTCAAATAAAGTCTTAACTCAGTACAACATTAAATTAGACTTTTGCATGATCCTGATATCAAATAAGCAAAAGCTGAACAGCAGCCAAGCAAACGGAGAAACAATGTTTTCACATTTATAAGGTGTTAAGTGTCTGAGCATTTGATGATTCTACTCTAGGATCTCTACTTTTATTAAGCAGCCACGATTCTTACTCTGGTTTTCATTCATAATTCTTTAAGGAAGATTTTTCACTCAGTAAATATTTCATGAGTTCCTACTACATGCTGGTCACTAGAGATGCAAGAATATTAAGACACAATTTCTATCCTCAAGAAGCTCCTAGTCTCGAAGTAAATAATAAACTAACAAATGATAAATACTGTGATAGAGACAGAGTGGCCAGGGAGAATTTATGAAAAAGGTAAGGCCTGGTAAGAGTGTTTACTGGAAAGTAGTAGGCAATAATAGAATAGAAAGGATTGAAGATAGAGAGGGTAGCATGAAGAAAAGCAAAGAGGCAATCAGCATTTTTTTTTTCAGGAAATGATCATCAATACTCTATTAATGAAACATTCATGTGAAGAAATGAAGATGGAAGGAAGGCCATGAAGAGACTGTGTCATGTTAAGGAGCTTGTGCTTTTTTTCCTGCAGGGGCTGGTAGGTCATGGGTTGGTTGTAAGAGAATGACATTGTCAAATTTGAGTTTTACATCAATCAATATGGTAGCCTTGTGATGGGATGCATTTAAGCTACCTGAAATTAAAGCCAGGGAGAAAAGCTGAAAATGCACTTTGGATGTCAAGGTAAAACATGTTGAGAGCCTGCACTATGGAATTCAAGTATATAAGGAAAAATCTGGTCATAATTTAGTTTTATAATGTTTGTGCAAATTGAGGAAATGGGAGATTTGTCTGTGGATGCGGGTAAAAATGAAAAGTGAATATTTTTCTATACAAGATCAGTTGTAAGTTACATTGCAGCAAGAGGAAAGATACCTAATAAAAAACACAATACAGAAAAATTTCTGGTTATCCTTATTTTATATTACATTGAGAATTTTCAACACAGAGGAATACTTCTCATTTAAGGGTACAATTTCTTAGGGTTCAATTTTATACTCTCTTGCTCTGTTGATTTTTTGTATTCCCTCCATGAGATTTTATTCTGGAATCCTAACTTTTCCCCACCTCCTTGTAATATATCCTTAGTTTTATCTTATTTTCCTGTCTTTTGATTTGATATTTCTTCCTGCTACTGTCTCTTGAATTACTTCTGTCTCCTTGCTATGACCTACCCCATGCTACCTTTGAACTCCTCCAGGCCCTTGAGAACCCAAACTGGTTCCAGTGTCCTAAGCTTCTTCTGCCTTTTAGTGAAGAATATTTGGATTTAAATCAAATTCTGTGTTTCCAAAAAGGGATAAGGTAAAGCATATTCATGTATTTTTTAAACAGATGACATTTTACTTTCTTCTTAAAAAAATACAAAGTGTTTGAATTATATCTCCCAAAGCAAAACAATTTATACATTCTAATTTTGTTGAGGATTTTGTAAGGAAAATAAGCTAATCAGTAGCAGACACTTAGTCTCTTTTATTTTTAGAACTCTTAACTGATATCTTATGGCTTTCAAAAACACTTTTAATGGGTGCAGACATTTAAAAAAGGTTATAAATGGTCAAAACATTGGTTGGAATGAAAACATTTGAGTTACTTAAATTCATGCTAAATTTTTTAAGTAAAAAATTAAAATATAGACTAAATGGCCCTTGCTTTTAAGGGACTTTCAAGACAAAAGTGGACAAAACAAATGTGAAAAAATAATGATAGCATGGGCAGAATGGATAAGTAGCACACTTATGGACTAAGTGCACCGGTGGTCAGAGAAAAGAGAGATCAGATTGAGTCTGATATCTTATCAAGGAAGGTAGAAATAAAAAGGTATCATTTGAACTAGATTTTCCCCAACAGATGAGAGACATTTCTGGAAAACACATGATGCAAGGGTGAGAAATTATGATCTAATCAATTTTTGCACAGCTTGGATGTAGGCCACTTTGCAACAAGTGAGGCAGTGGGGGAAAGAAAGCTGGAGTTTAGCTGGAGTCAGAGCCCAGAAGGGCTGATATGTGAGCCTTAAGATTCTATATTTGATTTAACTTGTAACGTAAAAACTGAAAGTTTCTAAGCAGAGAAATGACTAGCTTATGTACATAAAAGAACACTAATCTGGCAGTGGTGTTTTAAATTGTCAGAGAAATCATACCAAAATCCAGAAGGCAAACTAAGGGGACAGTGCAAATAGTCAACATAAGAGGTGCCAGGTTAAAGTGTGGCAGTGGGATAGAATACAGGACACACAGATGTTGACCAAAATGAATTGATAGCATTTGGGGATTGGCAAGGCACAGAAAGAAAAGATTTGAAACAGGACTGAAATTTTACATTCCAAGTGACTTGAAAGAATGACTTAAAAAATGTACAGAGAGACTTTAAAAGATAATGGCTTAGTGACGGAAGATAGTGACTTTATTACATAGCTTACTACATATGTGAGGCCAGGAGATAGTAGGAGACTTTTAAGAAAATGGAGTATATGGGAAGGAACTTAGAGTTCAAATTCATAGAATTGAAGTATGAGGTGAAATAAATAAAATAAAATAAATTCTAAGATACAGAATGAAAGCTAATAGCAGTAATGGTTCACTGTTAAAGAAACCCGAAAAAGAGATCTAGAATGTGTTTTACTAGCAGCATAAAAAGCACCACCAACAGCTCAAAGGATTGATGATTAATAGATCATTGATAACTGGCAAGGAAAAAAATTTGGTAAAGAAGTTAAGAGCAAACCAGAATTCAGTGAATATGTAGAAGTCTTTTGAGAAGATAGGTAGTAAAATGGAGGAGAGCAAAAAAGCAGTGTAAGAAATATGAATAATCAAGAACATTCTTGTTTGGTCTAGGAGTGATCTGAACATTTTACTGGGAAGAAAGATTTCTAGGGAGGGACAGAAGGAGGATGCAAAGGAAATAGGAGGTTATTGATGTTGCAAAGTGTTTCAGTGAGGTAATAGGAAATGAATTGCATGCAGCAGGTCACACTCTGTGATCAGGAGCCAGGGGAAAATCACGGAAAATGAAGACGGGAAGGAGAATAGAAATCAAAAAGAAGATACAGAATCAGTTTAATAAGCACAAGAGAGCAAAAGATGGAGAGGATATGGACAATGAGGCCACAAGAAAGAATTTTAAGAGGCAGGAATGCAAAAAATAGGACAGTTTTGAGACTAATAATTATAAAAACAATTTTCAGTAACTTTTTTTTTAAACAAAAGCTTGTATATAAGAAGAGCATAAAGGAGAATAAGGACCAAAAAAGATATCTCAACATTTAGTTCTGATTTTTCTTTTGAGTAATGTCATAACATGGACTAGAAGATTTCCCATGAAAAAAGGACATAAACAATGAACATGAACCATGGAGTTCGGGAACAATAAATCTTACCTCTCTCAGAGGATCATTGAGTTCACTGAGAATATTTTCCTCATCAAAAATTTTGCCTTGGTATCTGTGTTCATAGTAATCATGTATCTTCTGACGCATATCAGCTGGTAATTTATGGAATGACATATACTGTTCCACTTGCTTATACTGTAAGGAAAGGAAAAAGAAAAATAAGAAAAAACATTGTTAGGCTGAATGAGAAATCATCACATTACTTTGTTGTACTATAGTCAATAATATTTGAATACTCAGTAACAAAAAGAAGAAATTCATGAAGAGAAGGAAATAATTTACTAGGTCCTAACGTATGTACTCTGTGTCACATACTGTATAAGGCATTTTATTTAGGTAAACATTTCCTGTAAAAAACTGTGACGTTGTAGAGAGGATGAAAGGAGTTCAGAGTGAATTTAAGGGTATAGTTCCAAAATAGCCAATACGAGGGCAAAAAAAAAAAAAAAAGTGTGATGCTATAAATTTTAGTTGAATTCTAATAAAACCACCTCTTCCTTTTATCTGTGTAGCTCTTCATTTGGGGAAGAATCTTGTACCTCTGGATAGTACAAAGGACATAACTTAGACCTAGCAAAAGATCAGAATCTAATTAAATTTTAAATCTAGAGGCAGAAGGCTTGGCAGCATTTTGTAAATCAGAGATATTTAAACAACACAGATGCCTATAAAATACTGAGAAGTTCAAGAGTATATCAGACTTCCAATTTAGGATTTAGGAGAATATCAGGGTGAGACTAGATCTAAATAATACTGTAGCTGAAAGTAAGTTAGACATTGAAGTTTATTTAAGCAAGTAGTTCTTAAACTTGATTGTTATTCTATTGATGTATCTGCCTATTTTTATTTACACATATACACAGAGTTGTTGTTTTTTCAAATCACTCCTGTGAATTCGGCAGAATCATAGGAGCTTGGATATTACCTGGGTGCCTATTAGAACAGAGAATTTCAGTCCTCACCCCAGACCTATGGAATCAGAATCTACATTTTAAAAAGATTCCCCAATGACTCTCATATACTATATAATATGTAGATTAAAGTTTGAGAAGTATTCCTTAAGTGTTTCTAATGGAGGTGGTCAAAAGACCACATTTTCAACTAAAATAATTATTAAAATATTAAAACATTACTAATTATTAAAATAATTAGATTTTAAAAATTAGTGTCATTGTACAGATAATATAATTAAGTACAAGTAAAAAAGTAAGTAATAAAACTGGATAAAAATACTGGAATATGAAGTACTATATTGGGCACATAACAAACAAAGATACTGGAATAAGATTCTTTCCTTAAGTAAACACACTTGGTATATTATATATGGAAAATATTTTTTCAAATCTTTTCCTAATAATAAAACTCTGACCAGAAAATCTGGCTTTCTTGAATCCTTATCCATAATTACTATAATTGTAATTGGTAAATGATAACAGACCTATCTAATGAGCCACAACAACCCATTCTATTGTATTTCTTCTGTTTTTTCCTACATACTTTCCTTATGCATATTGTTTAGACATTCCCTTTTGGAGACTAGTAACCTCAAAGGAAATACTATTTTGTCACAAGACTTCCTTTATTTGGTAACCAGACTGTTCTCTAAAGTATTTAAAGCCTGCAGGCATATATACACCTCTTTGAAGTAACTTGATTATGATAGTTATTCTTAGCTAAAAAAGAGAGCCATGGGCTTTGTGGTGTAGTTTAGAGTCTGAAGCTCCACTGGAGATCCCTAAGGTTAGTTTCTGCACTAATGGTTTGCAACTAGCCCACCTGGTTTGACTAGTCTGGCTTGATGATTTAAAGAGCCAATGATCAGGGGGTAGGGGGAGCATGGGCAATGTACGGAACCATAACATTTGTACCCTCATAATATGCTGAAATAAAAAAAGAAAAAAAATAAAGAGCCAATGACAGCTTTATTTCTAAGATCATTCAAAACTAAGATTCCTAGTTCTCATTGGTTCAAGCCAGAAGAAACTCAGAATACTCTAGTGTCCTAAGACTGGGCACACAGGAAAAACGAAACTCATGCTGTGGCAAGGGTCTTGCACTTCTGATGCTTGTCTGTATTCTCTCTCTTTTGATGCATTTTATCCTTTGTCTTTAAATAAAAGCCTCAAATGGGTATGGTGGAGTCTGGTGAATCCTGTCAAACATCCAAACTTTGCAAATAGGAAAACAACTTAAGACAACAGGACTTGCCACAGTTTTGACATTCACTGGTATGCATAGATGGATATGTTATCATTTCTGGCCAAATAAAGGATTAACCTTTCTTTAGGACAAGTAGGTGTCAAGTCATGTCTGTGTTCTTTCCTCAGCATGCTGCTTGCTCCAATATGCTTGGAGAGTTGAGAATCTGTAACTTAATCAACACATTGAGCTCTACATTTCTCCTTTTTTTACCATCTATTTCAGGGGTATGAGGAGCAACATTAAAACTTAGTATTAATAGTAATTTATTCATTTTTGGGGTAATTGATGTTTGTGAGTAGGCAAAGGCCTACTCATCTAGAGAAAACGTAATCTGCTCTATCTCTGTCTCAAAAATTGGAAGTTATTCTTGAATCGCTAAATATAATTGTTACATATACAGTTATTTTTATGGAAAGTCGGCATGGATTGAATCTAATTGTTTTTTCTCACACAAGTCATTTAACACCTCTAGACCCCAGTTTATTAATTTACAATAGGAGAATGTTAGAGTGAATGATCTTCCTTGTTCTTTCAGACTAAAGTTTTAAATTTCTATTAATATTTGTCATTTAATCATATTAAGTTTGATTTTTGAGCCTATTACTGTCTTAATCACCTACCGACTCATGGTAATTATTGAACTAACAAATATTAAATAATTGTTGTGTGCTCATGGTTCTCAAGGTGCGATTGCCAAACCAGCAGTATCACCTGGGAGCTTGTTAGAAATGCATATTCACAGTTGCCACCCAGACCTACTGAATCAGAAACACTACAATTTGGACTCAGCAGTCTGCGTTGTAACAGGCCCTCTATACACTAAAATTTCAGAACCACTACTATATGATATGCCAAGTACTGTGTTATCTGAGGACATAAAGAAACATTGCTTGAGTGAGTGCAGGAGAAAGAAAATAAATTCAGGTTTTGGCAAGTTAAGACGCCCATGGTACTTCCTAATGCTTATATGTAGGTCAGACACTCAAAGAAGGAAATATGCACGTCATCAATGACTAAGGAATTACTAAAAGGGAGGATATGTCAAGTGAGGAGAAGAGGCAAACAGTAGAATACAAATTTTTA